AGAGAGAGAGAGAGAGAGAGAGAGAGATGGGAAAATAGTAGCTCTCATATTTTAGGTAAACTCTAAAACCACACACAATGAAATCATGGAATTCATTCAATTCTTCTCCTGACCAAAGAATTTGTGAATATCAGTAAGCCTAAAAACTGAAACATTTGCTGCTTCCATAGTTTTTGTTATTCTACAGAATATTATCAAGGAATCTAAATTTTAGCTCTCAACAGGGTAGGACTTTAAAACTAGATCAAAAAACAAAAATTTCTGTTCAAGTATATGATTTAATTGTGAAAATCTTCACATAGCTATGGAGGCATCTTGTCTAAAAAAGCCTTACTATGCCTCATAAAATAGAAGATTTATGAGAATTTTGTAGTGTTGGTATTCTTTGTGGAGCTTGCAAAATATTTTTTAATGAGGGAAACGCTGCATGTGATTTGCCATTGCCACACCTACTGCTGACATAGTATAAAAGATCTTGCGGAGACAGTCAAGTTCCAGTTCAGAAACTGTGTACTTCCACACCTGAGCCAACCACCTCCAACTGTGACACCATGCTCTACTACGGCAACTACTATGGCCCATACTATGGGGGATATGGGTTTGGTGGACTAGGCTGGGGCTATGGCTGTGGTTATCGGGGATATGGAGGCTACGGATATGGCTGCTGCCGCCCATCTTGCTATGGCAGATATTGGTCATCAGGATTTTACTGAAGAATTTGAGAGCTCCTGAGTCTGCTGAATGTGCCTCCCAGCAAATCACGGATTCTGCTGCTGGTCATGTTCTTCTTATGCTGCCTCTTCAAAATAACAACCAAAATCTATAGAATCAAGAAATAACAACATTCATTTTTCTCTGATTCTATTTTTCCAGATGAGAAAAGAAATCTTCGTTGCAAAAATGCAACAAAATTTCACATCTGACCCATAAGTGCTTTCAATAAATTTAATGTTCTTGAAAATATAATGTGTCCAATATTTATTTATTTTCACCCCCAATTTTGCATGTAAATGCCTTTATGTGGACAGCTGTGTGTCAGTACTATCCCAGGTGTGAAGCTATTTCTTCTGATCTTTTCTCTATTATTTTCTGTCACTATGTGTATGTTGCACACTAGTTGAAGATGAGAACCTATGTGCGTATATTCGATCATTTATTTCTCATATAGTTTTGGTATCTTCTCTTTAAATGACAAGTGAAGAGTTTAAAACACACCCAGAGTCTGATGGTCACCTGCTGTTCTCTATCTTTGTTTCCCCAGAGTGCGGTGGAACAGCATTTTAAGTGGTGCTTCTGTGAGTGCTGGGTGGTCTGCTTTCTCCCTGCCCCATGGCAGCTTTGCCACAGGAAAACCTCTTACCTGCCTGTCATGTAGACTCTGTGTCCAGGTGGAAATGAGGCATGGGTAGTGCAGTTCCAGGAAGTTAAGAATGGAATATTTGGATTATGAATTTCATTTCATAAGTGCACTGTTATTCATTTGTTCATTCATTCATTAGCCAGCTTCAAAAGTACACTAGGACTAGCAAGATAGCTCAGCACACTAAGCACCTGCTTAGGCACAAAGCACTGGGACTGGGGTTATCTCCAGCACCACATGCCATGGGAGCCCCACCCCTGAGAGTGCTGAGCCAGCCACCCAGACTGGGCATGGGGGCAAACACCTATAATCCCAGTGCTGGGGAGTATGAAAACAGGAGGATCACTATGAGTCTGAGCTGTGTAGTGAGACCTGCACCAAATACATTTTGTAAAAAGTGCACTAGACATACTGTATTAAAAGTGTCTCACAGATGAGTATTTCATCTTATTTCAATTTTAATATTACTAAGCTTTATGTATGTGTATCATCCATGAAGTTCTGACACTTGTATAGTATTAAAATATAAAAAAGAATAGATTGTACTATTCTATTTTCAACCATCATTTTTTTCAAAAAAATATTTTAGTGGCTTTGCACCCAATTTGCTAAAAACAATTCAGTTAATTTATAAAAATAAACTGTTGATATGAAGATTTGTTTTTCTAAATCAAGCTAATGAATATATATATATATTCATTAGCTTGATTTAGAAAAACAAACTGCTTTTAACCAGTAATTTATAAGCAATGAACAAGCTTAAAGGGTAAAATTATAATTTGGTGACTATAGCAGCCAATGTATTTTCTTAGTAATGAAAAAGGACTGAATTTAGAAATAGAACCCCAAATCTAGGCATTCTTTACTTTTCAACCAAAATTTGTTAAACTGCTAAAATATATCTGTGACAATGTGAGGTATTGGTACTATACCTCATTTATATTCTTTATGGTAATGAATTCTGTTGACAAATAAAAAACTACATTCAACTTAAAAATGTAGACTCAATATATTTTTTGTATGGTTTACTTATCAAAACATTCCAAATGATTACTGTTCATATCAGAGTTTCTCAAAATTATCCTTAAAGGATGACTACAAGACCTAAAGAAAGTTTCAAGGGTCCCAGAAGGCCCAAACAATTTACATAAGTATTTAACTAAATTTATTTATGTATTTATTTGTTATGTTTTTAGTACAGGGTCTACAGGGCCTCACTACATAGATCGGACTCATAATGATTCTCCTGTTTTTAGCCTCCCAAGCACTAGGATTACAGGCGAGTGTTACCACACCCTGTCTCAATCGCCATCTTAGCCCACGGGGCAGAGGGGGGTGGCATGGCACGGAACACAGGGGACTGAACCCAACAGCTACCCTTTGCCTAAGCAGGTGTTTTATTTGGCTAAGCTAACTGGCCAGCTCTCAAAATTTAATTTTTTCCTTTGTTTATTATTATACCGTGGAAGTTTCCAGATTAATTAATGACTTACGTGACCACAGCACAATGAATGTAAAAAGAGATGCAAAAAGCTGACTTGAATTAAGCCAGACCTTTAAGGTGAAGGTAACAGTGTAAAACATTTCACTATTAATAACATTGGTTTAAAATATTGATCTTCTAAAAATATATTTATGTTAACATGGAATTGAATTGTAATTATAATTTGAAATGAATTAATAAATACTTAAGTGAAATATATTTACATTTCTAATTAGGTAAATATAAATACTGACCCTTTGAGATTCACAATAATTTTCTTGACCAAAAAACTGGAGTCACCACTCTGAACCAACAGACTTACACACTGTCCACAGATCAATTCAAAGAATCAGGATGTCTAAAATACTTTTGTTAAAGAACTCAAACAAAGTTAAATAAGTAGGAAATAATACTATACTTTTTGTTGTCTCCATGCTGATTTTCTTTGCCATGATTATTCGGGCTTGTAAATTTTATTTTAATTGACAAGTAATTATGCTATATTTATGAGGCATATAATTGCATATATTGCGTATATAATTATATTTATTTATGAGGTAAAATGTAGTGTTTTAATGCATTACACATTGTGAAATTATCTAACCAAGCTAATTAACATATTCATGACCAAAAATACTTATTATTTCTACATGGTAAGGCATCAGTACTCTAAATTTAATACTTGAACTGACTCATCCCACGAAAATTCACATCATAATACAAAGAATATCCACAGAATAATTTAAGTTTTAGACAATAAAGATAACATAATTTTTGACTCTCCTTTTCCTACCCTTATGTCATGATTCACAGAGCTATATTTGACTTTCAAGTTTAAAACAATATGAAAATAAATCATTAGCTATTTTTGTTGATGAATTAGTTAAAAGTAAAATTAATTGTAAGTGACTAAATGATATATGTACTGAAAAATTGTTTTTTCTTTCATGTAAACCATGTCTACACTTATGGCTTTTACAGATAATTGGTTGTCCTCAGGCATGTGGTTAATTTTATATCATTGTTTGATCATTTATAAGATGTGATTGGTATCTTTATAGTCACAGATGGAGCTACAGGTATAGTGATATGAGCATTGGTCTTTAACCTAACATGTGCATAAAATCCATATTTTTCATATGTATGTATGTATAGGCAACTCTACATCTATGTGTAAACAAGTGAAGTGACGTGATATAAGATAGCTCCATTTTCTATTACCTAGACTAGAGCTCTCTGCCTATAGTTACTTTTTAAAATAAACTAAAGATACGGCAAATCATCCATATTCATATTTTCAAGTACTTGTGAAGACTTGCACTGTGACTCTCCTTCCTGCTGCTCTTCTTATTTCAAGAGCAAAAAAGAACACCAGAGACCCTACGTGTGGCAGCAGGGTATCTAGGATATCTGCGGTTACTTAGCAATGTGTTGGACTAGAAAAAACCACTTACATATTTTCTTGGGAAAAGATGCTTCAACCAGCTGCATCATTTGTCTACATATTCATATTTACCTTTGACTTGTAATTCAAGAAAACAGAACTTCCTTTATCACTTTATTTTTTCCCTAAGGCAATAGAACGAGGGGAAGGAGTCTCCATTTCCAAGGGAACAGTAGGGAGCAATGCTTTTGATTATTCATGCAGAGACCGTATAATATACAGAGAACTCTAAAAGAGCTCGTGTCAATGAAAGCACTCTAGTGTTTAAAAATATATTCTCCATTTGAAAGCCTTTTCATACCTAAGTTAGGAAATATACTTACTTCATATGTGAGTAAGTCATGTATCATTATCCAAGCAACCAAGTCTAAAACCTTTTTCAATTTTTGCTCTGGAAGGCTGTATGCTTCTCAAAGGTCCTTATAGAATGAAAATTGGGAAGGCAATGAATTATTTAAAATTATTATTCCTGACAACATTATTGATATGGGATTATAGCCCCTACAGCTAGAAGAGTTACTGCCTAATAAATCTTTTCAAATAAATGCTTTAACCATAGTAAACAATGTTGAAATTTTTTTCTGCAACTTCCTATTTTACTGTAGCAGAATGTGAGAAGAGAGACAAAACAACTACCATGGGAGTGTGGGTGCACAAATAATACTGAGTTATCCAAAATGTAATAGTTGTTTCTGATGGGTTCTCTGTTCAGTACGTCAAATTGCCCAGAGCCATGGCAAAAGAAAAATGCGATATTCACTCCAAGCTTCACCTTACCACATCACCACTGTGAATAGCCTGAATACAAGGAACCAATAGTGATATCTTGATTTGGTCTCTCAGTTAGATTGACCAATCTTTTATCTTCTTCATTTAATTAATTCATAAAAACAAAATAGTACATGTTATCAGGTTATGGAACTGTAAGATGTTTCAGTGTAGGTGCATTTGTATAAAATTTGAATCACATTAAACTTACCTCAAATATACATTGTTTCTTTATGAAAGAAAAACTATGACTCGTGCAAAAGCATCTTTTCCAAATGTAATGTTTCATATTTGATGAATTGATTTGAGTAATACAGTTATGTATATCTTTAACATTTGTCAAGATATTTGAAAGAAAAAAATTCTTCTCAACTTCAAGGGCTGAATAAATAGCTCAGCAGACTAAAGGGATTGCTTAAGCAGATGCAGGGGTGGGGAGTTCAGTCCTAGGTCCTACCACACCGACCCTGCCCCGGGTCAGGCTGGAATGGGAATTGAGATTGGGCATGGCGGAGCCAGCGCTTGGGAGGCTGTAAACAGGAGGATCACTAAGAGTCCAGTCTATGCAGTGAGACCCTGTAGACTTTGTCAAATAAATAAATAAATAAATAAATAAATAAATAAATAAATAGAGTGAGTGAGATTTGTATGAATATCA